TAATAAGTTGGTTTTAGGAGGTTAGAGAAACCACAAATTACATTTAATCTGATTTCATTATGTTCCGTGACATTCAATGACTTTTTTTTAAAAGAAAAAATTAACGGATTTATAACGAAAGTAATATCAAATATTACATAAATAACTAATAAATTTTTCTTACAAGAGTAAATACTAAAAATTTATTTAAACAATAAAGGATTATCAACAGGCTAACTGGATATTTTAATGAACTTAAAATCAACCTAGGTTTTTTGAAAATTAATAATTGACAAAATCTGTTGTCGGCGCAGAATATCAATATTAGAAAATATATGTATGTTTGTGTACAACGAAGCAAAATTTTGTTATTAGGAACATTTTTCAAAGACTAGGCTTTATAGAATTCACATTATTTTCCAAATCAGCACATTGAAGAACAAAGCAATGACGTTAATTATCTACGCACTTTATCTGAGTACTCGATTATTTTACTACACTTTGTTGGTCGGGCATGCTATTCTATACTAAATAACGGATTAAGCAGTAATCGAAAATTTTCTATACTAGCTTATTTGTCCATGACTTCGCCGCGGCATTAGTCTTATAAAAATGCAATTATACTTCAAATAAGTCATCATCCGTAGAATCTATCAATAAATATGTATTACTGTATTAGTGTTCATTAAACGTAAGATTTATGCATCTAAATATAAATAAATAATTTTTACATTTTAATAATTCCTTGATACTCATTAAAATCATAATCTAAACATTTAAATTAAAAGGTTGTTAATTTAAATTAAACAATTTATATTTAAAACACAATAGTATTCTGAATATCTTTTCATCAAATTTACTTTATATACAATATACATATCGTGTCTAAAATTATATTTGTTAACATATACGAAAAGATCTAAATTCAAGAACTAATTTCAGCCAAATATAACTTCAACTTCAGGCATAACATATACAGTATACTGTATAAACAATTCAAATAAATTACCTTGAATTTTATTTAAATCTATATATTTTACTTAAAGTTGTTTCTGGTGAATAAGTTTGAATTTCAGTGTTTCCGCTATTATTTATTGCAATCTGAATAGGTTTATTATTTTTTAGATCATTTTGATAAATTATTCGTAATTGCATTCTTATTTCATTTAAAATTGTATTCGTATTGGGTCTATTTTCAGGAATAGCATCCCAACATTGTTTCATCAATTTAATATACCAACATGGCGTAGATTCATCAATTGGTGGTCGAATACCTTCTAAAATATCATAAGCTAAACTAAAATCATGGTTACGACTCTGAAATGGTGGTATACCGGATAATATTTCCCACATTACTGCATTAACATTGCAAAGCTATAAATATCCGATTCTTTTGTTGCTTGTTTGCCATTTAGTATTTCAGGAGCTATATATCCCCTTGTTCTTGGGTTATAGAGCCATATAAACCAAAATCACTAATAAACCACCATTTTGAAAACCTACCAGAGTGTAGGTCTCTGTGAATAGTGTCTAATTGATGAATCATAAACTATCCTAATTCTTTGTTCCCATAGAATATATTTGTGATTTGGTAGTAAATATTCCCGCAAGCTACATTCCATAAGATTCAATACTAACATGAAGTCTTGTGTATTAGGGTCCAAGGTTATTCCATGGCAACGAACAACATAAGCGAGTTTATTCATAAAGTTTAGATGTGATTTGAACTAAAAAATATATATATTATTGTAGTAAAATAAATAATCATCAATATAACAAACAACTAACCTCAATTAACCATTTTTTATTTAATCCGTTCGAATGATCCAAACGCCGGCTCTTTTAAGCTGACGATTTTGCTTATCCCACATATC